AAGACAAATATCTCACTGACGGTAATATTTCGTATAGTGATGGTAGTCCTAATGTTCCTGGTGCAATTTCGACGTCTGTAAGATTACATTTTCAAGAGCCTACACCGTTGTCACGTGCTTTTTCAAGAAGTTCTTTAACGTCGCGTGTTAACGGTTCCCTGTCTTCGCGATTTAATAATACTCTAAGAAACCAAGTGCAAACAGGAGATCACTGTTATAATAGTGGTGATCGTGGAAGAACAACGCATGACAACGGTGATGTTATGCGATCTACTGGAGAGATCTCTCCAGCAAGGTTCAGTTCAATTCACATTGCAATTATATAACCAACGAAATTGCATTTTTTTTTTTCATTTTTCCGTATTCAAATAAACTTTAATTTTAGTTGAACGACACAACTAATTCAGTCATTACATTCGTTATTTGTAATGAATACAGAACACAGTCTTGGAAAGAATTGTATGAACGAGATCCACGGTATGATAAATTGTTACCTTCGCCCGAAGAAATTATCCAACAAGAACAAAAATTGCAGCAAGAATTATATCAATACCAAAATGGAAGGGCGTGGGTACAATATGCACTTCAAAACTCCAACGAGGTCATTACTGAGCAGAAAGAAATAGATCAACTATTACCGCGACGGTTATCTCAATCTTCTCCATCAAATGGTCAAGTTCTTAATGATGACAGCAAAAAACATGAAGAAAAGAAAGAAAATTCAAAAGAACAATATCAACTCAATATTTTCTTTACAATCTGCAGGCACATTAACGCAGAATATACAATTAAATCATGGCCAAAAAACAAAAGGTATTGCGCAATATTACGCGTGCCAATACTTAAAAGATCATTTGGCGGGTTTAAAAGTACAAAAGAATTAGCATTAGAAATGGTAGCAGGAATGGCAATCGAGGAATTCTCTAGGAGGATGCCAGAAATCGCACATAATGTGTTGAAAACGGAAGATTTAGTTACATTAGAATGTTTGATTGAAAATTCTGCGAAGGTTAATGGAGAGAAAGTATTGAAGAAGAGACAAAAAATGAAATGTGAGAATGATAAGAAAGTAAAAGTGAATGATAATCATGAAATTTTGCCTGCCGAATGTGAAAAAAAAGAAAACCATATCCAAAAGTGTTCATTTGTTGAAAATGAGAAAGAAACAAGTATTGATATGGAAGGCTTATTTACAAGTGGGAAAGAAGATCATATGAATGATTTACTAATCGATCAGGAAAAGGACGAGAGGATGAAAAATAAGGTAGATGAAAACGTTTACGCAAAGGAGGAAAACATCGTTGTAAATGGAATGACCATTGAGGACGTAAAGATCAAGCTTAATAAAGTTGATGAGAATGAATCATCTGAAGATGAAGGCGATGAAGAAGATATAAATTCGCAATTTGGCGACAATTATAGTACCAAAAGTGATGAATCTTCATAACACGAATCTAATCAAACAGAATAAAGCGATATAACGAGGGACAATTTTGCTTAGGGAAGTGATTACGAATATTCTTGTGATCTCAATACAACTAAGGATCATGTCACAACAGTAAGGAGTCACTTAGAAATGTTTAGGATCGACAAAGATATTTCTGTAGTTTCAATGCTTTGTCATGTGTTAATTTCTTTCTTCGATGGGTTGATGTTTTTGTTTCTCGTTTTAGCAAAATAAATAATCTCATGCTTACATAATCACACATACGCCAAGTTAGGAAATTTATTAAGCCTTTAGATCTGAGCGCTTTGCTTAGTGTAGTGTCTATCATCTTTCGAATTATTATATTAAAAAAAAAAAAAAGTGAAAACACAAACATAATAAAAATAAAAATAATTTTTTTTTCTAAAAATCATAGAAGATATCTATATACATTATAAATTATTAAAACAAAATGAATCAAATCAAAAAATTTATTAACATGTTTTTACATTAAATTTTGTGTTTACTACAAGTTTTTAATAATACCCAAATATTTTAAAAACTCACTATATGATAATCAAGCCGGGAACATTTTTCGACTCAGTATGCAATGCTTCGCTCTCGATACACTCCAGTTTACATCATTAACTTGTTCCTTCACCATCCGATCTTCCCGGTAACCTTTGTTTTTTCTCGGCAATCTTGAATTCATTAAGGGGATCTCGATGAGCAATCTTCAAGAATTTTGTGTGTCTACCCTGAGAAATCAGCTTACTATCTTTTTTGTTGTACAAATCTATGGTTGTAAAGGCTAAGGTTTTACCAATTTTTAAACATTCTGATTTCTTGAAGATTATTCCCGAAACGTTATTTCAATTGACCAAATAAAGTCAACACGACCACGTATAAAGGCAAAACATATGATACCCACCAGCAGTAAGACGTCACCAGCTTTAGCAGCGTCAATATAAGAAATACTTATATCAGTGGAAAGTCCTGTGGAATTCATCCCCTTGGCAGCTATAGCCAATGAACC